AATGAGTGTGTACTTCCGATAAGTATGAATTCATGATGACGAGACAACAAAATGAGTGTGTACTTCCGATAAGTATGAATCCATGATGACGAGACAACAAAATGAGTGTGTACTTCCGATAAGTATGAATCCATGATGACGAGACAACAAAATGAGTGTGTACTTCCGATAAGTATGAATCATGATGACGAGACAACAAAATGAGTGTGTACTTCCGATAAGTATGAATCCATGATGACGAGACAACAAAATGAGTGTGTACTTCCGATAAGTATGAATCCATGATGACGAGACAACAAAATGAGTGTGTACTTCCGATAAGTATGAATCCATGATGACGAGACAACAAAATGAGTGTGTACTTCCGATAAGTATGAATCCATGATGACGAGACAACAAAATGAGTGTGTACTTCCGATAAGTATGAATTCATGATGACGAGACAACAAAATGAGTGTGTACTTCCGATAAGTATGAATCCATGATGACGAGACAACAAAATGAGTGTGTACTTCCGATAAGTATGAATCCATGATGACGAGACAACAAAATGAGTGTGTACTTCCGATAAGTATGAATTCATGATGACGAGACAACAAAATGAGTGTGTACTTCCGATAAGTATGAATCCATGATGACGAGACAACAAAATGAGTGTGTACTTCCGATAAGTATGAATTCATGATGACGAGACAACAAAATGAGTGTGTACTTCCGATAAGTATGAATTCATGATGACGAGACAACAAAATGAGTGTGTACTTCCGATAAGTATGACAAAATGAATGAAGGCACCAAAATGAAGGATGTCTTAGTTGTGGAGGGACTGTGGTGCCAGCCATGTTCATCGTAAACGTCTTTCTAATTTGGTCAAAATTGTTGATAATAGTCAATTTTGCGGCAAACAAAAGTTTAAGTAGGAAATTTAATTTAGACAGGATATGGTTATCGGAAACACATTTATTTTTATTTAACCTAGCAGTGATCAGGTATAAGATTATTTTCACAAGGTGTCTGTCTTTTCTAGAATGGGACATATATATGATTCGTGTTAGATTTCTCCTACGTTGGTAAACAAAATGAAACGTTTCACAATCCGATATAATTATACACTAGGGTGAGTAGTGAAGTGATCCATAACAACAATAATGAATCCCCACCCCCAGCGCCATATTGGATACATCAAGACAATATGCAAGGCGAAGCTGAACACATTATCACTGGCACGTCTAAACTATTCTCCGATTATATGTGTATTTACGTTCAAAATATGACATTCAGAGTTACAAGAGGTGTAGCAATTTAATTGTTTGTTTGTGAACCCCAAAATAATGTTATTTAACGAAACTATTTATAAAATTCCGATAATTTAAATTTCTAATTTCACGATATTTCTATCAGAAGAGAATTTTAAGGTGTTCAACTTGATCCAATAATATTCAGTGAAATTGCATTTAAAAAATGTGTATTGAAGCAGTCCGTGAAAAAAGGGTTACAAGGTATGTGAGTTTCAATTTTTACCAGCCCGTCTGGAAACTTACCCTTCTTGGGTGTACGGATGGAATAGACTTTGTTGATCTTTGATTTGTCTTTGATAGAGAACAATTCGTACCTTGTACAGCGAGACATTTACCCTTCTGCGCTGCACCGAAGGACACGGTAGGAGTTGGAAAACAATGGCGGACGCAAATGCTGGCGTACATGTGCTGTATCTATGGCTGACCCTATGCAATTTCAAAGTTCATTCTGTGTAAATGGTGACTCCATTTGGTGAGTATGATACTCACTATCCCTAAAATCTGACAGTATGTGTTCACCCATATAAGGTTTGCTGTCATTTGCCCTGAAAAAAACAATGAATGGGGCCGGGTGGTTTGAGCTGTCCGAGCTGACTGACTGACTGACTAGGGACTGACCTATGTTCCGACATGTCTATGTTCCGACACACAGTATACTTGTGTCAAACTTAATAATCTGACTAGCTCTCATGCGACCACAAGTATTAATTATAATGCACATGATACCCTGCGTGACCTTTGGCTGCTATGGTCTGTAACCAGGATGTCCTGCAAGATAGATAGATAGAATTTTTTATTTGGAACGTACCAATGAAATCCTGAGTAAAGTCCAAAAATAACAATAACAAAACAAAACATTCAGAACAACAAAAACCTACAGTAACTAAAACATATCAAGAATATAGAAAATATATTTTGCAAAAATGCTAAGAATGAAAAAATCATTACTTGAAACAATAATAGGAAATAATTCATCCATGCTAAAATCTTCCAGCTTTGGGGCATAGATGTATAGAGCTGCAAGGAATCTAGATCTTTGTTCTTTGATTTGACAATTATTACAATATAAAATGTAATATTTCTCATCCCCTACTTCATTGCATTCATGGAGATTACATAGCCTGTTTTCCTTCAAAATGCCTTTATGTCTACCGGATTCAATGGGAAGAAAATGTGCAGAATATGTGTGTTAATACTGGGAATCCAACTGTAGTCGGGCCATGATGCTCGAATATCCATGAAGGCGGGATCTTGCATAGTTTTATCGGATAATTATCAGAGAATTATCAAACAATGTTACTCATTGTATCAGTCTAATACTTCGACAATTATTTGACAATATCCGTGTGTGTTGGGAGTTCCTCAAATCCTCCGTTAGCCTAACTATCAAAGTTTTTATAGATCGATAATTATTGGAGAATTATTTTACTCTTAATGAAAGTTGTACTTCGATATTCATCAGTCACAGAATTGCAAGGTTGCTGCAGTTTAATTTATCTACATATTTATTATTAGGTATTATGCAAGAGATAAATAGGCACTGCATTTATAGCCATACACCATCCAGTGGAGGGTCTATGATTTAGCATTCCGAAGTGTTTGCATAAGTTTTTGAGATTTTCAAAAAATACAAGGGTCTCACACTATCTCTTTACATTCACATATTGTGTGTTTTCGGCCAACATTCTTTGTTTACCTCCACACGTTATACGTTTTCCTATCAATCTAAGACATTGATAGTTCTCAGAGGATTATCGGAGAATTCCATATTTAAAAAATTAAACCACCACTCAGCTGTAGACCCTGTCTAATATCGATCTAAAAATTTATCAGATAATTATTCAATAATTTAAATGTACAATAGGTCGTCTTTCTCTAATGCCAGGAGCCAGAATATTGCACAAGTTTATACTACATGCAAATTTGATTCATAATTCACCGTTCAAGGTTAAGGTCCATATTAGACAACATCCACATCAGAATTCCACATTTTTTAATCTTAAAATTTCTCGCCCATTTATTCATAATTATCTTATTGTTAGATTGATATCAGAGAGGGATCTACATGTACAATAAATAGAGTCGGAGTATGGTATTTTAATATTTATCAAATTTGAAGATAGCGGTCATTAAAATCAATGGGCACTCGTGATTTGCTTGAAACCGAAATTAAGTTCATAGTTGAATAAAGTCAAATCCATCCTCTTAGATAATGGCTACTCGAATTAAATTATCCCTGTCCATATTTTGAAAAAAAAGTGGCTAGTTGTGACAGAGAAGAAATTCGGGCCCAATAAATGCCTAGTCTTAAATTATTCTGTTTCTATACACTCAGAAAACCTGATAACTTTAACATACTATTTTAAAGTTCTTTTAAAGGGTCTTACAAAAAGAAAATTAAAAACTATAAACTAAAAAAAATAAATACAATTTGCAACCAAATATGAATACAGAATAGAAAACATTCTTTAATTTTAACCTAACACACTGATAGTTGTTGCTGTTTTGTTTCATAGCTGTGTTTAAAAAGACAGCTAAGGGTAATGCATAACTAATATAAATTTATTCTGACTGTGTTCTTTATCAAAATTTGGAACTTTATTTTGTGCAGTCAGGACTAAGTTGTCCCTATGGTGACTGTAAGCTGGACAATTCATTACAAAATGTTGCTCATCCTAAATTATATTTTGGCTGCACATATAACATGTTTATTTATCCAGTGGCACATTATTACGTCTTCCTTTCTCAATTTTAAGGTCATGGTTGATTGTCCTGAATTTTGCAATTAATCTTGTAAGACCATGGTTCTGCACATTAATTAATTTATTTAAAATGTTTGTATGTTCTTAGTTTGTTTTTGGCCAAGGCATGTTTTCTGTTATTGGCGATTCGCTCCGCTAGGATTACCGGCTTGTCATTTTGCATGTCGAATATCCATTTGTTCTCCAACAAAAATCGGATTTGTTTATTTGTTTTTGAATAAAATTTAAATTTTATGTTATTATTCTATCTGCCAATTGTCAGAAACCACTTGTTCAGAGAAATTGATGATGAAATAATACTGTTATCATGAATTTCAGAATGAATTAACATATTTACTATGAAAGAAAGTTTTTCATGTTTATAAAAAATCAAGGGAATGTATTAGTGGTTGCAAGAGTATACCGGTACAACATTGAATTGCACAAACTGTTAGAATACATTTAATAAAATCAAAAGTCTTCCTCGCCAATGTAATGCAAGTGTCTTCTGTGATAAATGTTTTATAATTTTTTATGAGAAATATTCATGCCCTAAGTTATTCATAGTAAGAAAATGTTTATGAAGAGGAGGACCTCAGATCCCAGAAGTTAAAATCTAAATCTGCCCTCCTCTCCAAAACCTCTATAAATATATATTATGCTAGCCTATGTATACAGATTACCCTGCACTAATTTAAGTTACTGTATGTACAGTATGTTTCTTTTCCAAATAGAAATAATGCTATGCAAACTTTACACAAAAAGTAATTTATAACATATATTGGTAACTGCATATAATTTTTCTCTATTTGCTCAGAATTCATAAATACATACATTCGAAAATGGGATTACTCCGATGTGGTTTGTGCAATCCTATGAAGTTGTTGATGGTTCGTCATGATTGTTTAGGTCTGAACAGAAGAGTGTGTTTGCCGCTACACAGTTTTACTTCACGTCATGGTATCAGATATTCATCGTCTGCTGTCCGGCCGGTGTTTTTGTCCCTTTTGGAAGACAATGACTTTCTAGGTTCTAAGACATTACTCATTGATAATGTTGGCTCACATTCATATTTTCAAATATTGGAACAAAGTTTTCATCTTTATCTACGGCTGAAAAAAGACTTCAACATTAGGAAAGGAGCACGAGTTGCTTACCTCTGTCCAAATAATATCTCATATACAATTGTACAGTGGGCTGCTTGGATGGCTGGGTGCATTGCCGTACCACTGTGCTCAAGCCACCCACCTGCACAACTCAAATATTATATTCAAAATTCAACTCCTGCTGTGGTGATAGGAACAAACGATTTTTACGATTCTCTCCAGCCACTCTGTGATGCAGAGAATTTGAGATCTATATGGCTTCAGTTCAACCCACTCACACGGACATATGTGCAATCAGGGAGAAATTTTATTCCTGAAAATAGATCTTTTTTCAGTGCCTTATATCGTGCTTATAGTCTTAGCTGGAAGCAAACTGATTGGGAAAAACATGACGCTTTACTCATCTATACCAGTGGTACGACTGACCAGCCAAAAGGTGTGCTGATGACACATGGTAATATACATGCACAAATACAGAACATGACTGAGGCATGGCAATGGAGTGAAGATGATGTTCTACTACATGTGTTACCGTTACATCATGTTCATGGCGTCACAAACTGTCTCGCAACATGTCTGAATTCAGCGGCCACCTGTGTTATGCTACCTCGTTTTGATGCTCAACAGGTATCTGACTTTTAATTCCCGTTAAGAAATTATTTGAAATTAAAGTTTGGGTTAAAAGCTAACTGTAGTATGATGCTGTGTAAACACCAAAAGTATACACATACATTAAGTTTGTGTGTAACAGTAAATCTATTGAAGTCTGTTAGTGTGCCATCTGTTGTACGTTATATTCATTCCAAAGAAAATGTCTGGCTGATGGGAAACTCTTTTTTTATTTTGATATTTATTATACTAATACTAATATTTGGATCAGAGTATATCCTATTAAATTACAGCAAATCACCGTGTAATTGGAATTTCTGTAATTTACATAAATACAGTATAGCAATCATTTTTTTTGTAGGTATGGGAAAAATTAACAAGTGAACAGAGCCCAGTAATCAATTTATTCATGGCAGTACCTACCATATATGCAAAGTTGATTGAGTATTATAATCATAATTACAAATCACCTCGTGTTCAAGAATTTATTAGAAGTGTGTGCAAGGAGAATATACGGTACATGCTTATTACAGGATAAAAGGTTGACCATTGTAAACTTTGGCTGAGGCTGGACAATTTTGAAAAAAAAAATTCCATACAGGAAAAATCAGAAGAAAAAAATTCGACACAGAATTTTTGCAAGAAACAAAAATTCATTTATGAAGAAAACATCACAAATTTATTGGATTAAAGATAAATGCATCAAATCATCATAAAAAATAGTTTAATCAGTTTTTCTACTGTATTCCCTCTCACAGTTTCTAATGGGCAACCTCAAATCCAGATATATATTTTGATGTAGACTTCCACAAATTTAAAATTTGTATTCAATTTTGTTAATAGTTTGAAGAAGAGAACAATTACATTTTATTTTGTTTTAATAAGTGAAAGTACATCTGCTTCTACTAATAATGTTTTACATGAATTAGATTTGTATGACAAATGGATCAGATCTAATTACACTGTCCATGTTCCAAATCTAATTTTTTTTTGAATATATGAAACAAAAATTGAACCAAAATTGTCATCCAACATTAATATGCACCTGTCAGTCAGAAATCACTTCTCTGAAACCATTTGTTTACACTATTTTCCAGATTAATGGTGTCAGGATCAGCTGCTTTGCCGACTCCAATCATGGAAAAATGGGAAGAGATTACAGGACATGTACTGCTTGAAAGGTATGGAATGACAGAAATTGGTATGGCTTTAACTAATCCCTTACATGGTGAACGAGTAGCAGGTGAGTCAAGGTTATTTATAGCTTTTGTTTTAGCATATATGTGTATTAACTGATTGGCAAGAATTAATCGCTTGCACCAAAATGTAAAAAAATATGTGGTTTGATGTTGTTATGTATGTGTCCTGGTTATTAGAACAATGTTTGGCAATGTAGATTATCAGATACTGATGTGTACATGCCACTGATTTGTCTAATATGCCTATGCAAGTTAAAAACTCAACTAAAACTCAACCCTGCAAAATGTGTAAAAGTCAGCACTTACGGAAATATATATATCAGCGACTGTTTCACTAAAAGAGAGAACTTCATGAAAAGCAATTTACCAGCTGCCTCAAAATAACACCAAAAAATATTTATATAATTATATTTTCACAGTATTACTATTTATTTATTTCCTTTTTTTTATTATTATTACTTATGTATTTTATTGTTCCTTATATCCTTATTGTATTCTAATCTAGATCCCAGTGGGGATACGATATCAATAAAGGTTGTTATTATTACAAAATATATATTATATGCCATGTCCTGTATGTTATTACGTCAGAAGCCAGCACAAATAGGGTTTCTTAGCAATTATTATTAGTAATTTAAATATTTAAAAATAATTAATTCTGGGTCAAGATCTGTGGTTTACTACAATGTGTAAATGAACACCATATTAGTAAATCAAAAGGAAGGTTTTCTGACCTTTGAACTTTGCAATGCTTTTGACCATAATTTACTACTGTACAGACTGATTATTTCAAAATCCAATGTTCAGTCAAGTCATTCAATAGAGGAGTATTACGTGTTAGTCTCCTGATTAAATGATTTAGCTTTAGTTAGTAAAGTTCATTTCTGGAAGGAATGGAATTGTAGGTAAAAAAGTGAGTGAAAATTTTTCTTTATTATCTACTAGTAGCTTCACAATGAGTGGCTTTCGCGGTAAGTGGCTTTTGTATCTGGTGGGTTTCGCGGTGAGTAGGGCTTTGTCTCAGTAACTGGTCCTTTAATCCTTGTTGAGAATTAAAGTTTTATGTTTCTTTAACAACTGGCACTATTCTGGGAATACCATCCTTGCAGGAGTTCCAAAATAAGACCCATGCTCTGATAATGGTCTAGTTTCAAAGAGCAATATACATTACCATTATGATCTTATTGGTGTTGCAGGATAGTTGAATATTATTTATTAGTCCCCGTTCGGGGACTTGTAATTCGGTCTCCGTCCGTGTGTCTGTGCGTCCGTGCGTCTGTGCGTCTGTGAGTCCGTCCAGAGTCATATTTCAGAATCCTGTGGACCGATTCCTTTCATTCTTTGCATGTGCCTAGTACTTTATGTGGGACATATGCACATGCAGTGGTTTAGCGATTCGATTCAAAATGGCCGACTGGCAGCCATCTTGTTTGTTGAAAATGTTGTATTTTGGACATGCTTTGTCAGTTTTCATTCAAATTTAGTACATAGATCATACATGTTAGGATACATGTCCCCGACCGTCCGTGAATTCCTGAGTCTGTCCGTCCGTCCGTGTGTCCGTCCGTCAGTCTGTCCAGAGTCATATTTCAGAATCCTGCAGACCGATTCTGTTCATTCTTTGCATGTGCCTGGTACCTTATGTGGTACATATGCACATGCAGTGGTTTAGCGATTTGATTCAAAATGGCCGACTGGCAGCCATCTTGTTTTTTGAAAATGTTGTATTTTGGACATGCTTTGTCAGTTTTCATTCAAATTTAGTACATAGATCATACATGTTAGGATACATGTCCCTGACCGTCCGCGAATTCCTGAGTCTGTCCGTCCGTCCGTCCGTCCGTCCGTCCGTGTGTCCGTCCGTCAGTCTGTCCAGAGTCATATTTCAGAATCCTGCGGACCGATTCTGTTCATTCTTTGCATGTGCCTGGTACCTTATGTGGTACATATGCACATGCAGTGGTTTAGCGATTCGATTCAAAATGGCCGACTGGCAGCCATCTTGTTTTTTGAAAATGTTGTATTTTGGACATGCTTTGTCAGTTGTCATTCAAACTTGGTAAATAGATTATACATGTTAGGATACATGTCCATGATTTATTTCGCAATTGGATCCAAGATGGTCGACTGGTAGGCATCTTGTTTTTGTTTTTTATGCGGTATCTTGGACGTGCTCTGCCAGTTTTCATTCAAATTTGGCATATACATGTACTTTATACATGTTAGGATGCATGTCTATGACAATTTGTTTCAAAATCTGGTCAAGGATGGCCGATTGACAGCCATCTGACTTTTTGGCCTTACTACTTTATTTCCACAATTTATGTACCATTTTCATTCGTATTTGGCACATACACACATACATCAGTGTGTTTCATAATCAGATCAAAGATGGCCGAATAACGCCTGTTCTTATTTTTTGGCAATAAACAATCTGTTGTATACGCCACTTGGAACTCAAGTTTCAAGGACACGCTCGTGACAACCCCTCCGCTTTAATATGACGAGCTCAAAGAGAACTTTCAAAAATTTAACGGGGACTGTGTCATTTTCAATGACTTGTTAAAATTAATAATCCCCATAACTGTTTTCCAATACAGATAAATTATAGTAGGTAACAAATATATAACTCAGTCTCAACAATGAAATAAAGAAATGTATATATATATAGAGGAATTAATACACAACTACATGAATATTGAAACTCGACAGCACTGTTTCGTAAGGTACAAGTACCTCACTCATCAGGAGCTTTATGTTTAATTCACTGCACCAACGAGCATACATATACTTCGCAAATTAACATATTAATTAAAAATAAAAAACATACAGGTTTAAGTGTTTAAGTGCTTTTGATCTGTGTCGGCATGATGATACAAGTTAATTTCTTTTGTTTAGTGTGGAGTGGTGAGGTCTAAAAATTATTATAAATTTTTCTATCAAACATAGAATGCATTGTTTGCATTCCCGTCCCGTCCAGTGGACATGCCGTTTTTTTCTGACAATTGCATAGTTTGTTGACTTTCGTTTTATCAGTTGTGGTGCTCTTATCAGTCGCGAGTTGCCGTTTGTTTTTACTGTTGATGGTATCTTTTATATTGTTCATACAGCTACAGCTGACTTTGATGGTATTTCGATTGAATATTTTCCTGAGATTATTGCCAGTCGGAAAACACTTATCAATTTAATCCAGGAATCGCTTGCCGATACTGTTACGGACGTTGCAGTTATATGGTGGGTTGTACCAAAGGACATTACTGCGTGGCCGTTTTTTTTTACCCTTCTCCGTGGGGGGCTCAAACTTTAATTGGTGGTTGTAACCACTTTCACGTAGAGCTCTTTGGTAGGGTGGCGCCACGGTGTCAATCATCTTTTTATCTGACGATATAGATGATAATCGCCTGTTAATCCCGGCCGGGATATTCTTTGTGATGGCGGGTGGGTGGTTACTTTCCTTGTGCACGTATACCAAGTTGGCGTTGGCCTTTGTAAAAGGGTTGTATGAGCCCTCAACGAGGTTTAGCATGACATCAAGGATGTTGACTATTTTCTTATTCGCTGCGATCGCGATCTTCAGACCGTGGTTTTTGAATGCACGACAGATATCTTTTTTGATCTGTTCAGTCTCTTTGGGTGTGGTGTCTAAGGCGACTAAACCGTGTATATATAAATATATATATATTTACATTTATTACTAATGCATTGCCATACAACAAATTAAATTGAAAGAAATTGCAATTGCTTTTTGATCGAATTAATCGCATTGAACTACAATTTGAGTTCCTTTCGCTTATCAGTAAACTTACATATATTTTTTCTCCGGATAACCATGAAATCATCCAAATTCTTGCAAGATTTGTATACACAGCTTTTCAGATTAGATATAATTTGTTAGTGTGAGTTCTCCAATAGATGAGTTGTATATGTGTGTATATATATATATACCCCCAGGTTAGTGGGGTATATTTCTTTAGAGAAAAGGAAATAAAAAAAATATAAAATATTTCGTCAGTAACACTTCTCAAGGGTGTATTTCACAGTCAGTGTTATTAACGAAAATATTTGTTGGCGAGCCGCTCTGCTAGGATTGCCCTTAAAATCACTTTTGTCGTTTTGTGTGTGAGTGTCTGTGTGTGTGATTTCCAGTGTTTTCACGTATTATTATGCCGATGTGGTGTTGGGCCCAATAAACACGCAGACAACAGGTTCGAAATACAAGCAAAGTTTACTTGTGTGTAATAACTAACAGAACTCACAAAGATGGCAGCCCTGTCCCAGAATCCCATCTGTTGCTAAGCAACCCAACTGATGGCGGGAATTTGGCCATGCAAAGTACGGTATATGTTTATACTATTAATGCTCAGATACAACAGCCGATTTCGCTCAAACTTGGCAGGTAAGTCACACCTTCACCCTAGTTATTAGGAAAAAACTGGGAAAAAATTTTGGCCCACCGTTGCCATAGCAACAGCCCCAAAACTGATTTTTGGATAGCTTCGCGCCAAATGTATCTCCTCCTACAAATTTGGGATAAAACACCTCAGACATACCTCATTCTACTCAGCTTGAGTGTGGGCACAAAGTTACTATTTGAATTTTTGATATCTTTTTTCATTACAGAGAAAATTGCCCCCAAAGTTGGGGTAACTTTTCACCAGCAACGGCTTTTAACTGCTCTGTGTTTTTTTTGGCTTGGATGATTTTGTCCATATTTGACAGGCAGGTCGTACCGTCACTAATTGAAAAAAACTTGGCCCACCGCTGCCATGGCAACAGCCAAAAACTGATTTTTGAATACCTTCGCCGCAAATTTATACCTCCTACCAGTCTTGTAATAACAGTGCTCAAATGATCATGCTTTTTATTTAGGCTACATTGCGCACTGGTAAGAGATCACCGGCACCGACATTGTTACACTGTATCAACGTAATCTCAAGGCAACTTAGAATGAACTGTAAATGCTGCCTTCAATCTAGAAAATACTATCGCAAAATAAATTTAACAACAGAATACATCCTAACAATAAAATAAAGTAACTTCTAAAGACTGAGTGTTTTTTTGTGAACTTCGTATACGGGACTCGGTTTTAGTTACTAGTATAAACCGACGTTAGCTTCATGTTCATGTTCTACCATGGAAACAGCTGAAAACATGTTGCTTGTTTTTGAGCGGAGCGGATCGTCCCGGACTGTTTACTAGTGCTTACTAACTTGTCAGTGTCTGACTATTGTATACAGCCCAGAACACATCAGAATAGTAAAACAGAAAGTCAGGAAATGTCAGTTGCCCATGCCTTGAGAGCTGTTGAACCAAAAAAATCTGTCACCCTTCACCGCCCACAGCATCGATATGATTTTATATTGCATAGAAAAGAACACTAAATGCAGCTATTCCGGTCAGCAATCGAATCATCAATCTTCATGATTTATGCAACTGGTATTTCCATCTATTTGCTTAATGGTCTGAACTTTAAAATTGTCATGTTCGAGAGTGTGTTTTTACGTACAGTGACGCGAACATTCAACAACGTGTTGAACAGGAAGTCTATTTTGGGCTAGTGGCATTGTCAAATTTTATTGAGTACAGGAAATGTTTCAGTAAGGAATTGTTATGCAATGTACAACAAATTGGAAACAAAAGAAATCGTCCGATCCAAACAACCTGCGTCCTTGAGAATCTAGTCTTATCGCCTTTGCCTTTCCAGAGCAAAAAGGTCGAAACTACTGACTGCGGCGATATATATCTCAATTATATTTTGATTTTAGTAATCGAGGGTAAAAACCATGTTTGTGCTATGAAAAAGAGCAGATCTTGAACGTACTTTAGTGTAAATACATTTTTGCCTATCACGGGTAATGCGAGTGAATTTCTCTAGTTGTATGCGGTGTCCAATATGGTAACCAAGGGCAAAAACATTGTTTATTTGTTTTTGTTTTTTTAATATTTTTGGTGCCAGGCAACAGTTTCGAACATTCAGTGTCACTGTTGTCTCTCCTGACTTTTTTTTTTGTATGTGCAAATTGCAAGTGCTAGTGAAGACACATAGTGCATTTTGCCACAGAAGTCATATTCATGTTTGGGACTACATGACAGGGCTGTGTGGCCATCTCTCTGTCAAATGGCAATTTGTAATGCGCTATCCTGGCGTCAACCAGGCCCGGTCGAACACAAGCACCTGCGGACCTTAACCAAGGTTCCCCCAAAGTCGCATTCGTTAGTGAATGAATCTCAGCCAGTGGAATTGGCCTTCCCATTGAGTCTGTGGTACACTCACCCAGGGTAGGGGTCGACCATTTTGATGTTCAGCCTAAGGTAGGATTTGAACTTGGTCTACCGATCATGAGTCTGATGCGACAACCACTATGCTACCAGTGACCGATAACAAAAACATTGTTATGCAAATTAGCTTTAGATGAAAATTTGAGTTTTCTCTTTGATATCTACGTGAATTTCAACCAAAATGTTATCGGCAAGACTCAGAAACGCAATTGAAGGCAAATGAACACGTCAAGCAAAAAAAAACTTTTTCGAGACGCGGCGTAAAATGGAGGCACATACCATTTTGACTCTTGAGGGAAATGGAAATCAGTTGATTTGAGGGTGTCACAATGAGCAAGGGAGTAAATCGTTTTTATGCTACGAAAAAATGCAGACCTTGAACGTATATTTTGGACTTCAGTACAAGTCATTTTTGTTTGATTACCTAACGTTTTTAGGTTCATTTGCTGCAAGTTACAGAGCACATACCTAAGCGGCCGTCCCTCAGTAAATAATGAAGCAAAGGCATTTTTGATGTCGAAACTGTGAAACTCACCCTTTTTACGCAAACTGGGAAGTTGGAATTAATAAACGAAGTACAGAACGACGAAGATAAAATATCCAAAAATCAACACATACCAAAAATTATATCTCAAAAGTGAATAATCTTGGTGTATTTTAAGTCTAACCAGACCATAAGTGTTAGTATAAGGTAGTAATAATGTTTGCAAGCAAGGTTGGATTGTTATATGCGTCACAAAGATATATCTTCAATCCGTCCAACAATGGAGAATATCTTCAGTCCATCCAACAATAGATAATATCTTCAGTCCATCCAACAATAGATAATATCTTCAGTCCATCCAACAATAGATAATATCTTCAGTCCATCCAACAATAGATAATATTTTTCTGTTTTTATCAAGTAAAGCAAACACTGTCATCTGCAACCTAGTTATTTTTTTTCAGAATATGCTATCAGGCTTCAATGTGACCTTTGACTATAAGTCATGTAATTGCCTTATTTATTTATTACTCCTTTATAGGAGCTGGGCTGGAAGCATTTGAAAAAATAGGCCAAGGTTATTAACAAAAGATTTTCCAAATTATACATCAGAGAAAATGTGACGAGAAAATAAATAAAATCTGATAGAGGTCTATCCAAGGTATCTATCATATATGTAAAATCTGATAGAGGTCTATTCAAGGTATCTATCGTATATGTAAAATCTGATAGAGGTCTATTCAAGGTATCTATCGTATATATAAAATCTGATAGAGGTCTATCCAAGGTACCTATCGTATAAATAAAATCTGATAGAGGTCTATCCAAGGTATCTATCGTATATGTAA